TCCCTCGCCGCCACCCCACCCCCCCCCGTCGCCAGGCAGTCGTGCGCCCGGACACGATCGGCGGCCTAGTAGCGTAGGACTAGTGGGGCCGGTCGCCTGAGGACCGCGCGGCAGACTCGTGCCGGCGCACCGAGGCCTGGGTGCTCTTCGGGTACCCGCACGCGGGGCTCCTATCCGCCGGCGCGGGACCGTGCGTTTGCCCCACGCCGCCGGGTTCTGAGGTGGGTGGGCAGGAAGGTAGGGATGTGGAGGCTCTGCTGGAAGGGGTGGATCGGATGTTGAGGAGGTTAAAAGGTGGTTTGTAATATCGGTACTTCCGATAGTTAGTTAGTTAATTAATTAATGTTAATACCATAGATCATCCTTTTGTGGTGCTCGTGATTATGACTTTTGTCTGCGTACTTATTCTGTCCGGTTTCACTCCGCAAGGAAGGTCATTCTTCCAATTCGATGGTATTCTATGTCAACAGTAGACCATCAGTCATCCTGAAATCCGAAAGAAACGTTCGTACAGAGCCGCACACGTGACAAAAACGCAAACCGACGACAGAATCGTTTTCGCAAGGGCCAATTGCCCCCGGAGACGATGCCGCATGATGGCGCGAGCAGCGGCGCCGTGGCGGAACCGATGGTGGTCGACGCAGGCGCGGCCGGACTCGAGCAGAGCCGCCACCACGCCCTCGCCAACCTCAGCGACAAGCCACCAACCGCGCCGCGCAACAACGACGAAACCGCTGCGACTCAAGTACGAACGGGAGAAGACATCTACGAAGAGAAGATCAGACATTTCGTGGTCAAAGTAACGAAAACGAACAACTATTGGGCTGGGGAGGCTGAACGAGTTCCGGCTGGCGGTAGAGCTGGAAAATGAGAACAACGAAGAGGCCCGCGGCGGGGCCGAAGCGGAGTAGCAGAAGGGCATCGATGGAACAGAGGTTACGACTCATTTTATCTATTTCGTTACTTTGACCTCGGAAGGTGGGTGAGCCCTTTCGAGGAGATGGATCCACGGGGTAGCGGCAAGGCCGCAGCGGAGGTGCGGAGGTTTTCATCCAGCTTAGGCATGGTTTTTCCTACCGAGTTAATCGCTGAGGGACCGCATGTACTTAGTACCTAGCGTGATAAGAGAAATAATAATAATATGTCAACAGTAAAGCACAGTCCCCTCCAAATCTAATAAACACACAAAATACATTCTCCTCCCCTCCTTCCACCCTAATGCACCATCCTCTTCCCAATCTCACTCTCCCACCCCTCCGCCCTCTCGAACCCATTCGAGTGCGTCTGGTAGTCCATAAACGCCTTGTACACGTCCTCCTGCTTGGTCAGCACGAACGGCCCGTACTGCACCACCTTCTGGTCGAGCGGCGTGCCCGCGACAATGACAAACCGCGCGCTCTTCTCGGCCCCCTCATCCACTGCCGCGTACACGGCCTGGCCTTCCCCCTCAAACACCACATTATGATACTGCCCCACCGTGCGCTGGTTCCCCTTCTCCCCAATCAACACCTCCCCCTCCAGGGTATACGCAAACGCATTCCACCCCTCCGGCAGCGGCTGCACGATGCTGCCCCCCGGCTTCACCTCCACATCCAGCAACCACACGGGGGTATACGCCAAATCCTTCACCGAATCCACCCCATGACTCTGCCCACTAATCACCTTGACCCTCACCCTCCCCCCATCCACCTCCACCACCGGCACCTCCTCCGCCTTCAAATCCCTGTACCTCGGCTCACACGCCTTCAGCCGCTCCGGCAAATCCACCCACAACTGCAGCCCGACATTCGGCCTCCCATCCTTCCTCTCGACGGGCATCTCCGCATGCACGATGCCCCTCCCCGCGGTCATGAACTGCAGGTCCCCGGGCCCCAGCCGTCCCTTATTGCCGGCGAAGTCCTCGTGGTCCATCTCGCCGTCGATCAGGTAGGTGATGGTTTCCTGGCCGCGGTGGGGGTGGTCGGGGAAGTCGGCGGACCCGGGCACGGCGAAGTGGTCGAGCATGAGGAAGGGGCGAGAAGTGGCGCAGCTTGGGCGTGCCGATGGAGCGGCGCACGCGGGCGCCGGCGCCTTCGGATTGCTCGGCGGCGAGGAAGGTTTGGCGGATGAGGCGGGGGAGGAGTTTGGTGGCGGTGGACATGGTGGGTGGTGGGGTGTGGGTGTGGGTGTGGGTGTGGGTGTGGGTGTTGGGGTTAGTGTTGGTGTTGGTGTTGTGGTTTTCTTCTGGGTGTGTGGTCGTGGTTATGACCGTGATGATGTTTTTTGGTATGAGTTTGGAGATGATAGAGTTGGTTGTTGCAAATTCGAGAATGTCGTTTCGTTTTGTGTTCACAAGAGCCAAGATAGAACAGAGGCCCACGATGACGGAGATGGCAATGGTGACTGAAGAAAAAGTCTCTCATCGAGTTGGTTGACCGGATGGCTCCTTTTATACAAAAACTAATGGACACGAGAGCGAGAATTGTATTTCCAAACCTACGACAAAGAATACCCTCTGTTTTATAAATTATCACCAAACCTTTCCCTTTCCCTTGGCCTGCCCCTCATTACTAAGGCTAAGGTAAGAAAGCACATCGCGGCAAATTTTGGGCGGGGCAAAGAGTGAGGTTATTTCCCAATCCAGCTAGTGGGGCTGCTTACATTATGCACCGGTAATCGAGGTGGGGGGATTTCAGAATGCTGATCCAGGGCTGGCTGCTTCGAGGCAATCCCAAATGGGTCTTTTGGTCAGTGGTTACGAATACTCGGGGCGGCAACTTTGGCTTTTATCGCAACTTTTGCCATTGTTCAAAGTTCAACTTCAAGTCCAACTCCATTCTCCGATTTTTTGAGCTTTGTAAATTACATGCGCATAGTACCGTGTCTAGAA